GCCTTCATATTTTTATTTCATACTGAATACAACAGAAATTAGATCTTCATTTGATGTGTATAAAAATGTATTTTACTGATGTGATTTTTACCTTAATATATTGATCTCCCTAAATAATCAATAGTTGAGCTACAATTCAACAATTCAAGAATTTAATTTTAAGAATGTAGTCAATAACTTTCACCTTGGAACAACAGCTTCATTCCGCTTTTCTGTAATGAATTACTGCTCCTCAGCTGCTATCAGTGCCACCTGAAATGTGTCAGTGCAACAATTGTCCATAGAGATACAAGGACATCCACTTTGTCAGTTTTCCAAACACAGATACTTTAAACCTCAGAAATTGTTTCTCTGGGCTGTTAGGTTGCATTAGAATTAAGAACAGTTTCTTCCTTGACTTTCCTTCCTTTCTTCCTCCCACCCGCTTGTGAGGATTCAGAACAGCAGTGTTCTAGCAGCAGCAGACTCTCAACAAATGTCAATTATTTTCTGTCTCTATTCTGTTGTTCTTTAATTATACAGTTGTGTCAGTTTAAATATAATATGCTACTAAAGAACTAGAATACTTTTCAGTTAGGAAACCCACACACACACACACACACACACACACACGGCAGCTTTAAATGGTGAATATTTATATGGTAGTAATGATATATTAGCATATAGCATAAATTTTGGCTATGAGCACATTACATATTAGAAATTCGTCACTACACATGCTACTACCACTATTGGTAATAGCAGGGCCAAGTCCTCATTTCCCTGTCCCTTCTTACAATCCTAAAGTATAACACAGAAGTTCTAAAAGAAATTGGAACCGATTTCACTTGTGTAGTTAGTGAAATTAGGAGAAATTAAGATACTAAAATAGCACCTTTTATATAATGAGCTCTGTCGGGCTTTTCAGTAAATGTGAGACAGTCCTTTATTATACTTTATTATACTCTGTTCTAGGCACCAAAGCATTTGATTGCTAAATGAATATTATATACCTTCATTCTCCATTATCATTATGTAAATTATTAGTCCAGAACAACTTGGTAAACATAAGGTTCTTATTGTGAGTTGGGTTTACTGAGTTCTTAGAGTAACTAGCCAAGAGTTAGTTAATCAAGAGTAGCTAGTGAGGTATCCATAAAGTTAATGAAAACTCTAAAAGCAACAGAAACCGTGTTCTATTTGATAATGCAGGCTGGGTATTCTTTATTAGTTTGCAAGGATTCATCTGATTAAATGCCCTTTAGCATGACCTTTCTTACAGGGTATGTGAAAATATTGAATACACAGTTTGTGCTTTAACCACAGAATATATTGTATGGTGCATCCTTCAAAACCAAGTTTGGTTGGGGCAAAATTTTCTATAATATCCCATTTTAAGAATAATGGTTCAGTTACTAGAACACCATTAAAAATGTTTTGGGTAGAACTCATGTTTAAAATAAGATAAATCTCTATTTAACTTAGACGAATCAATTCAGTGATGATTCAGGTTAAGTTATTTATAACATTAGACGAGGTGGGCTAAACAGCAGTTATAATTTATTCAAGGATGGATACAACATATTCTATATTCAACAATCATTTAAAAGTTTTTTCTATTTTCATTTCTGTTTATAAAATGTTTGCATTTTCAAGGTTTCTCTGAGAGTATTAAATGATAATTTGGAACCTATAAAATATTTGCATGTGGGGCGGGCGCGGTAATCCCAGCACTTTGGGAGGCCGAGGTGGGTGGATCACGAGGTCAAGCGATCGAGACCATCCTGGTCAACATGGTGAAACCCCGTCTCTACTAAAAATACAAAAAATTAGCTGGGCACGGTGGCACGTGCCTGTAATCCCAGCTACTCAGGAGGCTGAGGCAGGAGAATTGTCTGAACCCAGGAGGTGGAGGTTGCGGTGAGCCGAGATCGCGCCATTGCACTCCAACCTGGGTAACAAGAGCAAAACCCTGTCTCAAAAAATATATATATATTTGCATGTGAAATTAATGGAGAACGTGCAGTAACACAGAGCCATCTATTGAAAACACGTGGATCTGATGCTGGATGCGTGTATACGTAGGGCACTTTGAGTTTGTCTTTATGTAGTCATATTCTGTGTAAAAATAGGCAATATTTTGTGAGTTAATTCTGAAGCATATTGATTTTGAAGGGTTAATATATCTTTATTTTACAATGTACACCATGTACTAAGTACATAAACTTTTCTAAAGATTAGATTTTATTTTCTTTTGATTTTTTAAGTTACATAAATATATTGCTTTTGTTAGAATGCATTTTAGGTATTTGGTGGGGACTCTACAAATAATAAATCTTTCATTTTGATAATAAGTAGAAAAAATTAACTTGACCATGTTTATAATGACTTGAAGACATTATATGATAAAGTCAGCACTTGGACAGCTCTCTGTGATAGCTTCTTCTTAACCCTTTAATCATAGAAAAGATGGCTGTGAATAATAATGTAATTGTTGTTGCTGGACATTATGAGTTACTAAACCTTTTTCATTCATGAAAATGGGTTTCTGCACGTACCTATCAGCACCATATGCTTTTAATCACTTGATATGCTGCCAAGAAAAATGTTATTGTAATTATTTTAAATATTTTTGTTCTAATTTACATTTATTCAAAAACATTTACAGTTTTTTGGCTGCGGTTGCCATCGTATTTACCCTTTACTACTATGGCAAATCATAGCCACCTCTTTGAAGTTTGGCAGCACATTTTCCCTTTGTATCCCTATTGCAGACAGGTGCAGGATGCATGACCCTTCAACTACTAAACTTGTTGCAAACAGATAAAATAGCAAGAACTTTCTATATATATCCTCAATTCTAAATAACAACTTCTTTGAAAGTAACATAAGAATCAGAAAGAAATTAAGAAGCACATAAAGAGAGATACCAATACTTTATGGTTTATTACCTTAGAATAAAATCTAAATAATTTTGATGCATCGAATCCTGGGTGTTTGTACACATCATTCCTTCACTCTTGTTGATCCATCCTTTCCCAGATCACAGTAGTCACATTGACTCCAGTCAATTCTAAAAGTCGGGCAGCTCTTGCCCATCACAAGGCTTTTTTCAGGGGCAAGTCCCCCTGTTTAGAATGCCTTTCTTTGCATTGTTTACACACTTGGTTCATTCTTTTACAGGAGTTTTCACCTTAAATATCAGCTACTTAGCAAGACTGTATGTTTATCCAAATCAAAAATAAAGAAACTATTTCTTCCCTTGTTTTCTCTTTCTTAACTCCTTGGTCCTTTCTTGAGCTTTATAGCAGGCAACAGTTACTATTTCTCTTGTGTGCTTGGTTTTATTTATTGTTTCCCATTAGAAAACACCTTTGTGATGACAGGGAATTAATATGTGTGCATCTTGTTCACCAGTTTTTTTCCCACTTTTAAATACTGTCCCTAGACTCTTTTCAGTATCCAATAAACATTTATTGAATGCATATATGCACAAATAAATATTTAAGATACAGAAAAGTAGCTTGAAGCAGCATAATCTGGTGTTAATATAGAATTGAACTTAAATAGCACCATAAATGGTGCTAATATAGAATTGAACTTAAATCTCAACTTCAGCATTAACTAGACATGAGACAAGTTCTGTTTTGCCTCAGTTCCCACATATAAAAACAGAGAAAGTAATACTTGGCCCACATCTTTCTGAGTGCTTCTGTGAGGACAAATTGAAATAATGGATGTGAGGCACGTTAAATTTTTTTAAACATTACGCAAATGAAAGATAATCTCCTGAATTTATATAAAAATCAAATAAAAAGGAAAATATTTAAATACAATAAGATAACTTGGAAAAACGTCAGCGTATCTTATTTGTAGCAAAGTTGGCCTTCATTCCATCACACCAAAAATAATGGGGAGAGAAGAATGGGAAAATGACTGCTTACGAAAAGAGAACCCAAGACTTGCGGAAAGATTGTTTCCTATCATTTGAGGTATTCAAGTTACGTTTTATGGCCGCGTTGTAAGAGGAGGATGGATTTTGCCTCCACGGTTGGTGATATCATGAGGGTTTAAATTTCCTTTAAATAGAGGTGTAATAGATAATACAAAGTAGCTCAGCAACAGTACCTGGTGAAAGTGACTGGCACATCTAAAATGAGGAGAAACGGGAGAATTAGAGGAAACATAGTTACCTATTTTCTTGTCTCTTCTTTCTTCTACACCTTCCTAATTCCTTCACAAAGAGTGACTAATTGATCATACACACACACACATACACACACACACACACACACACGTTTTTTAAACATATATATGTTTTTAAATTCAGCCCTCTCAACCTCCCTTCCACAGATAGGGTCTGGGGAAAGGAGGCCAGGATAGGTTATCAGAACTAATTCAATATCCCAATGATTGTACACCGGAAGCATGTTTCTGTACAATATTGCTCCGAGACGCCTTATTTGTTTATCAATGAGCATCCTACTGCGTCCCTGAGATGTAGGTCATCGGAAATACCAGCTGCAGATCACATGCAATCTTCATTATATCTCCAGACCCAGTGCGCTGCTGATTCCTGCGCAACTGGAGTGCGTCTGAGCTATGTGAGGGAAAGCAGACACCTGTGCCTTAGGGACGCAGGTGAAGTCTCAGCTGCCATCCTGAGACTTTCCCTGGCGCTTTTCCACCCTCTGGGCGGCTCACTTCTCATATCCATCTCCCCTGTCCACTTGGACTCAGGCCTGTCTGTTTAACCTGCGCTTTTCCCGCCCTCTCTCTCCTCCGCACCTTAGATGAAGACACAGAGAGCCCCACAGAACTGGGCATGCCTAATAGCCAGGGAAGGCTTGGGCTGCGAGAAGAAAGCGTTTGCACCTTCCAAGCTCCCCTCCCCTCTGCAGCTGCCTCATGCCAGTCAGGCGACCCGACGTGCTCCACGGCCCAATGAAGGCCCGCGGCCCTCGCGAGCGCTCCGCCTCTTCTGGCACCACCACCAATGAGTGGCTGGCGGAGGTGGGCCACGTCCTGTTCCCGCCTCTCCAGTTAAGGCCGCTGGTGTGAGCCGGGGCTCGGCGCGAGCGAGAGACGACGGAAGGGACGGGCAGGTGTGGGCGCGGGGCCACGCTGCCCGACGGCGGGAGTCACAGGCGCTGGGTGCATGGGCCAGTGAGGACGCGCAGAGATCCCCCCGCCGCGCGGAGGAGGAGCAGCGCGGGAGCCAGGCTGTGCCCCGCGACCCTGCATCCGAGCGAGCAGAACCTCGCGCTTCGCCGGGGGACAGTCCGAAGTCCGCGCTATGGAAGAGGAGAAATATTTGCCTGAGCTGATGGCAGAGAAAGATAGCCTGGATCCATCTTTTGTGCATGCATCGCGCCTTTTGGCAGAAGGTAGGACTTGCCCCCACCGATGGGCACTAACCGCCGGCTGCCCATCTGGCCCGCGGCTTGATAAGGGGAGTGAAGTTGGGGAGGGACTCCTGTCGCCGCCTTCGCAGAAACTGTCCCCTGAAGATGCTCCTCTCGGAGCTCGGGCGGACAGACCCGGTTCTTGGTTCTTGGGGAGCACAGCTGTGCTCTTTCTCCACGTCTTAATTTGGAGAAGACCAAAGCTACGGAGATCTAATGGCAGTAGCGATGTGACCTGTTAGGATCATAGATAGAGATACCATGAAGTGTAACGCCGTCCACAGGGACATTTTCACTTTGCAGAGGGAGGGGAAAGCAGTTTGGAAGTAAATGGTAATAAATGTAGTGTTCTAAGAGCTTCTTAGCTACAGATAAGCATTTGTTTTTTTTATTGTTGTTGTTTGTTTTTTGTTTTTTTTTCTTTTCTTTTTTTTTTTTTTTTTTTTTTTTTTTTTTTTTTTGCTTCATTTAGGAAGTGGTGTTTGATACCCTTTAATCAAAGTCTTTCCTATGGAAAGTGTTAGAATTAAACTATGCATGTTCTTATATATATTTGAATGTGGAAAGCAGAGGCTAAAGTGCTTACACATTTATTTGAAGTGTGATGATTGGGTACTCTGTGAGATATTGGTCCCTGGGAACACTCCATAATTGATCAACTGTTTTACCAAGTGTGCATTTTCTTTTGTGTACCTGCAACGTTAAAGGAGATTTCATTCCCAGAGGAACATATATGTCTTGTCTTTTGCATTGCTTTCAAAGGTTTAAAAACAAAAAAAGACATACGAACTTAACCAAATTACTCCATTTATGTTATAATTATTCCATCTAACTACTAAAGATACCTATGATGTCTGTAGTTATTTACACATACCTTTTTAAAACATCTGCAGATTTTTTTGGATGAATGCTTCATTAATAATGAATTGCTTCATCATCAAATTGTTCACAATGTAATTTTGGAGCTAAGGTTGTTCTGGACTCACCTACAGCAAAAACCTAAAAGGGATAAATTCCTCTACCCAAGCTCCTCAGTATTAAAATATTTTTTTTGAGACTTAGTTGTACCATGGAAGAATAAATTCTGCTCCTCAGTATATGATTCAAATATGCATTAGCTATATATTTTTAATTCATGGATTGTTATTTATAATAATGAAGTGTAAGATATGTTTCTATATTTAAGTGCTAAACAATTAGGATGAGATTTATAGTCAAAACATGGAATATGTGAAATAACTAAATTGTTTTCAGGGAAAAAGCAGATTTTATAGATAAGTGGGAAGTTGAAATACAATTATGCTTACTACTTTCTTGGTTATTGAATAAAAAATAGAAATTAAAGTGGAAAAGTAAGTCAATAAAAATGAACTTTTGAAAATTTCTTTAAGAAGATAACTACATAAAAATAATAGGAAAACAATGAGTTAATACATGTTTAAGGGTTTTTGAAATGATTTAAAAGGCAAGTCATCAGTATTCAGTAGCCTTTAATATATTTGAATAGTCTTCAGTGTATTTTCTGGAAGTTTCTTCATGTAACTGATAATGTCTTTAAAGTGAAAAAAAAAGTTACAAATTGATCATTTTCTCTGACCTGCTAATTGGAGTTCTATTTGAGACAGGTAGCTCAAAGATTAATTTATCAGTTGTTAATGTGAGTTACTGTACTTGAGGACTGCCAAGCTGAATAAAGGCATACAAGACACTCTTAAAAGAGTGCATAAGTATTTATGTAGCTGGTAAAACAGTCAGTGAAGGCTATGCACTTGGTTCCTTAACATTTTATCTTTCCTAGGAACTTGATTTCTTGATACAATACTTAAGAACATGTTCGAATGTACCTTGTAATTTGATTTTTTCCCAGCAGGGGGAAGCATGCCCTGCTTTTGTAAAGAATTAGAAGGAAAAGCTCCTAAATAGAGAAAAGCTAAGTAAGAAACAAAGAGGGTGCCCAAATTTCAGAGAAATCAGAATGAGGAAAAGAGAATGGAGGAGGTTATAATAATCTTGGGGTACAGAAAGAGTTATGCAAAAGGATGCATAGGTTTTAGATTACTTCTCTAATTGTACGTGGGGCTCTTTATGTGTGCTTATTAAAGAGTGTAAGATAATTGTTCTTGGAATCTCAATAATGTTAATGCATATTTTATGGTATAGCTCTTTCGTTATCTTTCCAAAGGCCACTTGCCAAGATGTCCATACTTTGTTTCAGATCGCTATAGAAGAGTATCATTGAGATGATTTTATTTCTCATACCTGAGAATGCATTGATTGAAGGCAGTGGCTATAAATAAACCTGACATAGATATTCGTTTAGAAAGAAGGTGCATACTGAAGTACATTTCAGTCAGTACTGTGCAGACAGTGTCAAGCCTGAGTGAGTAATAAAAATGATACAGATGATTCAGTTCTTCAGAATGATTTTCCGGAAGCTAATATATATAAAGGCAGTGATATAAACCAATGAGCTTTCACAGTGATTTATTTTGCATTTTGATTGGTGACAGATGAAAATCAGTGCTTAATTGCCACTGTTTCATGTAGAATTGAAGGCTGTGGGGTTGAAAGTACTAGCTGGATGGTTATTTGGGGTTTTGGTTGGGGAGGTGTCTATTGTAGTTTATTTCACCTGTTTCTGCTGTGTGTTTTCAGTGGAGGTGATTTCAGTTGATTGTTACTAAAAAGAGATCTTGAATACTATAGTTTAAGTTCATTTATGACATGCTTAAATAATCAAAATAGTGTTCTTAAATAATAAAACTTCTGTGATTATAATGTTTAGTTATCCACTTGTTATGGTAGGTGCTTTTCAATATGATAAAACAGCAAACTCAGCACCATCCTTTAAGTTCTACTCAGCCTCTGAATTTGGTTGCCAGATGAAATTCCATGAGGTTATTTATATCTATGCTACTTCTGGGAAGTGCATTAAACTGTCAATATAGATACCTGGATTTGAATTCCACTTTTACTTCAAGTGAATCTGTGTAAATTTTCTTTCCCTGGTCCCTGTTTCCTTGTCTCTCAAATTAGGGAGTTGGACTAGGTGATTTATATGTTTCTTTGCACTGTAATTAAGTCTCAGACTACTGATGATACAACGAAGTGATGTTTATATATTTGGAACAAAAAATCAATGCCTGCACATTTTTAAAACTTTTTTCATTCTTTCTGAGTTTAATGATAATAATATATTTATGGCACTAAAGTGTAATTTCAGGCATATACTTTATTTTGGGTACTGGAGACAGATTTATGTTCTTAAGTCTGTTGAACTACCATTAATACTTGAGGCCAAAAATGTATATACATGAAAATATTGTCTGGAAATATTCTATGTCTGCTGACAGACATAGATCTGTTCAGATTTATAGATTCACTTATGGCAATTCCATACTCTTAGGAGCATTATACATTTTTTGCCCAATTGAGAGTTCTTTGGGCAAGATTTTCCAGCCTGAAATCTTTGCAAGCACTGGAAGATTCATAACCATTTTGGCTGACTCATCATATGACATGTCAAATATTGCCAAATACTCCAACAGTTTGAATGTTTTTTGAAAAACTGTAGGTGCTATTTTCAAACTTTAAAGTTTGACCTGCCATTTAGAATTGGCATTTATTTTTGCAGATATAAATAGGTTCTTAAAAATATTAAGAGAACAAGGATTAATATTTATCACAATTGCAAACTTGTGGCGAGTTAACTACATTTAAATTATCAATAAGAATCCTTTTTTAGTTAGATTGTATTTCTTAAATATTTTTTGTAAAGTTTGATAAGCTTATAAATTAAGGAAAGTTATTAGTGTAATGTCTAAATGTCTAAAACAGCTTCTGATTAAAAAATAGTGTTCATGTGACTCTTTTAAGTGACTTTTCTTTTGATTAATGTAATCTCTTCTCCCTGTAGACTTGGGATAATCTTACTTATATTTCTTAAATACAAAACAAACATGGGCAAAAAATTAAATTCAAGTTATCTTTGATCATCAATTAAAACAATTTATGACATAGTGGAAAAATTCTACTTTGACAAGAAAAACACTTGGGAGTGAGTATTGACACTTCTACCTACTGGAAAATACAGGATGTGTCATTTTTCTCCCTCTCAGATACTCAGTTTCTTCATCTCTATAGCGGGAAAGGTAATACCTACCAGGCAGAGTTCTCTTAAGGTGAAAAAGAAAAAGCTTTTCCTTTTGATAACATAAGGGGTATTTTTAAAATTAAAAAAAAAATTTTTGAAATAGAGCCTTGCTCTGTCATGCAGGCTGGAGTGCAGTGGTGCAGTCTCTGCTCACTGCAACCTCCACCTCCCAGGTTCAAGCAATTCTCCTGCCTCAGCCTCCCCAGTAGCTGGGACTACAGGTGTGTACTAACACATCTGGCTAATTCTTGTATTTAGTAGAAACAGGGTTTCACCATGTTGACCAGTCTGATCTCAAACTCCTGACCTTGTGATTCATCTGCCTTGTCTTCCCAGAGTACTAGGATTACAGGCATGAGCCACCATGCCCGGCCAGTATTTTTTATGTGTATAACAAAATACATAAGCAAAAATTAAACAAATACAACATGATGCTTGGGAGATTTCACCCATTGAGGACTTAAACTCAATTTGAGAAAATAAGGAAAATAAACACTGCCTTACTTCAGATCACTGTTGAGTTAAATTTGAACTCATAAAGAAAATTATAAAATAAATTACCTTATGAAAAATAATTACATTGAGGGTTTTAAAAATATCATGTTTAGTAAATGATCACTTGCGGGTCTTTAACCATGAGACTGATTAGCCCTGGTCCTATTTATTTCAAGAGTAATTTCAAACCTATTCAGGCTTGTTTTTAAACCTACACGTTTTTTACTCTCAGCAGGTGATTTTAATATCCATTTTATTGGGGAAATGGATATATCTCTTCTGCTATTCCTCAACCTCCTACTACCTAAAAATTTCCGTAGCCGTTGTCACTGCC